CCTAGGCTTTCTTAACTTGTTTAACTCACTCCAAAATTTTTTCTTATTTTCATTAAAATTTCTTGACAGTGCCTCTCCCACTCTATCATCTGCTCTCCTTTTGCACTCTCTCACCACTCTCTTTACCTTTCTTTTACTCTCCATATACTCTGCTCTTCTTATAACACTTCTGCTTTGTAAAAACCTCTCATAAGCTACCTTTTTCTCTTTTATCACACCCTTTACTTCATCATTCCACCAATCACTCCTCTTTCCTCCTGCCCCCACCCTCCTATAACCACAAACTTCTGCCCCACATTCTATCTACCAATACATAATCCAACAAACTACTGTCATTTCGCCCTACATCATATCTTGTATACTTATTTATCCTCTTTTTCCCAAAATATGTATTACCTATAACTAAACCCCTTTCTATACAAAGTTCAATCAAAGGGCTCCCATTATCATTTACACCTGGCACCCCAAACTTACCTACCACACCCACTCTAAAAGTTTCTCCTACTTTAGCATTCAGGTCCCCTACCACAATTACTCTCTCACTTGGTTCAAAGGTTCCTATACATTCACTTAACATATCCCCAAATCTCTCTCTCTACTCTACATTCCTCTCTTCTCCAGGTGCATACACGCTTATGACCCACTTTTCACATCCAACCTTTACTTTAATCCACATAATCCTTGAATTTACACATTCATATTTTCTCTTCTCCTTCCATAACTGATCCTTCAATATTACTGCTACCCCTTCCTTAGCTCTAATTCTCTCAGATACTCCAGATTTAATCCCATTTATTTCTCCCCACCAAAACTCCCCTACCCCCTTCAGCTTTGTTTCGCTTAGGGCCAGGACATCCAACTTCTTTTCATTCATAACATCAGCAGTCATCTGTTTCTTGTCATCTGCACTACATCCATGCACATTCAAACATCCCAGTTTTAAAGTTTTTCTTCTCTTTTTTAGTAAATGTTTACAGGAGAAGGGGTTACTAGCCTATTGCTCCCGGCATTTTAGTCGCCTCATACGACACGCATGGCTTACGGAGGAAAGATTCTTTTCCACTTCCCCATGGACAATAGAAGAAATAAAGAAGAACAAGAGCTATTTAGAAAAAGGAGAAAAACCTAGATGTATGTATACAGTGGACCCCCGGTTAACGATATTTTTTCTCTCCAGAAGTATGTTCAGGTGCCAGTACTGACTGAACTTGTTCCCATAAGGAATATTGTGAAGTAGATTAGTCTTTTTCAGACCCCCAAACATACACGTACAAACGCACTTACATAAATACACTTACATAATTGGTCGCATTCGGAGGTGATCGTTATGCGGGGGTCCACTGTATATATATGCATGTGCGTGTCTGTGAAGTGTGACCAAAGTGTATGTAGGAGTTTCAAGATATCCCTGTTATCTAGCATGTTTGAGACAGAAAAAGACACCAGCAATCCTACCATCATGTAAAACAGTTACAGGTTTCTGTTTCACAGTCATCTGGCAGGATGGTAGTACTTCCCTGGGTGGTTGCTGTCTACCAACCTACTGGAGTAAAATAAAGGTTGGATGTGAAAAGTGGGTTATAGTAAGCATATATGCACCTGGAGAAGAGAGAAGTGTAGAGGAGAGATAGAAATTTTGGGAAATGTTGAGTGAATGCGTGGGGAGTTTTGAACCAAGTGTGAGAGTACTTGTGGTTGGGGATTTCAATGATAAAGTGGATAAAAATGTTGTGGAGGGAGTTGTAGGTAAATTTGGGGTGCCAGGGGTAAATAAAAATGGGGAACCTTTAATTGAGCTATGTGTAGAAAGAGGTTTGGTAATAAGTAATACATATTTTATGAAAAAGAGGATAAATAAATATACAAGGTATGATATAGCACATAATGAAAGTAGTTTGTTAGATTATGTATTGGTGGATGAAAGGTTGATGGGTAGGCTCCAGGATGTACATATTTATAGAGGGGCAACTGATATAGTGGATCATTATCTAGTTGTAGCTACAGTTAGAATAAGAGGTAGATGGGATAAAAGGAAAATGGCAACAACAAGTAAGAGGGAGGTGAAAGTGTATAAGCTAAGGGAGGAGGAAGTTTGGGTGAAATATAAGCAATTATTGGCAGAAAGGTGGGCTTGGGGAAGTATGAGTAGTGGGGGGATTGAAGAGGGTTGGAATAGTTTTAAAAATGCAGTATTAGAATGTGGAGCAGAAGTTTGTGGTAATAGGAGGGTGGGTGCAGGAGGAAAGAGGAGTGATTGGTGGATTGATGAAGTAAAGGTTGTGATAAAAGAGAAAAAGGTAGCTTATGAGAGGTTTTTACAAAGCAGAAGTGTTATAAGAAGAGTAGAGTATATGGAGAGTAAAAGAAAGGTGAAGAGAGGGTGAGAGAGTGCAAAAGGAGAGCAGATGATAGAGTGGGAGAGGCAGTGTCAATAAATTTTAATGAAAATAAGAAAAAATTTTGGAGCGAGTTAAACAAGTTAAGAATGCCTAGGGAACGAATGGATTTGTCAGTTAAAAACAGAGTAGTGGAGTTAGTAGATGGGAAGATGGAGGTATTGGGTAAATGACGAGAATATTTTGAGGAACTTTTAAATGTCGACGAAGAAAGGGAGGCGGTAATTTCATGCACTGGCCATGGAGGTACACCATCTTTTAGGAGTGAAGAAGAGCAGGATGTGAGTGTGGGGGAGGTGCGCAAGGCATTACGTAGAATGAAAGGGGGTAAAGCAGCTGGAACTAACGGGATCATGACAGAAATGTTAAAAGCAGGGGACGACATAGTGTTGGAGTAGTTGGTATTATTGTTTAATAAATGTATGAAAGGGGAATGTACCTAGGGATTGGCGGAGAGCGTGTATAGTCCCTTTATATAAAAGGAAGGGGGACAAAAGAGATTGTAAAAATTATAGAGGAATAAGTTTACTGAGTATACCATGAAAAGTATATGGTAGGGTTATTATTGAAAGAATTAGAGGTAAGACAGAATGTAGAATTGCAGATGAGCAAGGAGGTTTTAGAGTGGGTAGGGGATGTGTAGATCAGGTGTTTACATTGAAGCATATATGTGAACAGTATTTAGATAAAGGTAGGGAAGTTTTTATTGCATTTATGGATTTAGAAAAGGCATATGATAAAGTGGATAGGAGAGCAATGTGGTAGATGTTGCAAGTATATGGAATAGGTGGTAAGTTACTAAATGCTGTAAAGAGTTTTTATGAGGATAGTGAGGCTCAGATTAGGGTGTGTAGAAGAGAGGGAGACTACTTCCCGGTAAAAGTAGGTCTTAGACAGGGATGTGTAATGTCAGCATGGTTGTTTAATATATTTATGGATGGGGTTGTAAAAGAAGTAAATGCTAGGGTGTTCGGGAGAGGGGTGGGATTGAATTATGGGGAATTAAATACAAAATGGGAATTGTCAGTTACTTTTTGGTGATGATACTGTGCTTATGGGAGATTCTTAAGAAAAATTGCAAAGGTTAGTGGACAAATTTTTGAGTGTGTGTAAAGGTAGAAAGTTGAAAGTGAACATACAAAAGAGTAAGGTGATGAGGGTATCAAATGATTTAGATAAAGAAAAAATGAATATCAAATTGGGGAGGAGTATGGAAGAAGTGAATGTTTTCAGATATTTGGGAGTTGACGTGTCAGCGGATGGATATATGAAGGATGAGTTTAATCATAGAATTGATGAAGGAAAAAAGGTGAGTGGTGCATTGAGGTATATGTGGAGGCAAAAAATGTTATCTATGGAGGCAAAGAAGGGAATGTATGAAAGTATAGTAGTACCAACTCTCTTATATGGGTGTGAAGCTTGGGTTGTAAATGCTGCAGCGAGGAGGTGGTTGGAGGCAGTGGAGATGTCCTGTCTAAGGGCAATGTGTGGTGTAAATATTATGCAGAAAATTCGGAGTGTGGAAATTAAGAGAAAGTGTGGAGTTAATAAAAGTATTAGTCAGAGGGCTGAAGAGGGTTTGTTGAGGTGGTTTGGTCATTTAGAGAGAATGGATCAAAGTAGAATGACATGGAGAGCGTATAAATCTGTTGGGAAAGGAAGGCGGGGTAGGGGTCGTCCTCGAAAAGGTTGGAGGGAGGGGGTAAATGAGGTGTTGTGGGCGAGGGGTTTGGACTTCCAGCAAGCATGCTTGAGCATGTTAGATAGGAGTAAATGGAGACAAGTGGTATTTGGGACCTGACGAGCTGTTGGAATGTGAGCAGGGTAATATTTAGTGAAGGGATTCAGGGAAACCAGTTATTTTATATAACCGGACTTGAGTCCTGGAAATGGGAAGTACAGTGCCTGCAGTCTATAGGAGGGGTTTGGGATATTGGCAGTTTGGAGGGATATTTTGCGTTTTTTTATATGTAACATTTATGAAGGGATTCAGGGAAACCGGCAGGCCGGACTCGAGTCCTGGAGATGGGAAGTACAGTGTCTGCACTCTTAAGGAGGGGTGTTAATGTTGCAGTTTGAAAACTGTAGTGTAAAGCACCCTTCTGGTAAGACAGTGATGGAGTGAGTGATGGTGAAAGTTTTTCTTTTTCGAGCCACCCTGCCTTGGTGGGAATCGGCCAGTGTGCTAATAAAATAAAAAAAAAATACTTCTAAAGCGTTGTATTCTGGGCACCTCTGCAAAAAGTGATTGTGTGAGTGAGGTGAAAGTGTTGAATGATGAAAGTATTTTCATTTGGGGGATTTTCTTTGTTTTTGGGTCACCCTGCCTCAGTGGGAGACGGCTGACTTGTTAAGAAAGAAAAAAAAATGGGAGTAGAATAATTGGCAGATGGGCCCATGAACAGGAACAGTGCAAGAATATCTGGCACTGCCCTGGGGTGTCTTATCTGGTTGGAATTTGGAGGGAGGCTAGGAGACTTGTTTTGAAGCAATTTCATTATTATTATTACTTTATATTTGGGGGTCTGAGGTAACTAGGGTGAGGAGGGCTTGTGCCTTCCAAATGGTATTACACTGAGTCTTATATTTTTTTTTCCTCCACAGGTCTGATATTCTGCCTTTCCTGGACCGTGTGACATACTTGTGTCTGGGTGATGTTGTATACACAGGTTCTACCAGGCACATGATTGATTACTTTAGAAGTATTGGCTTTCCCTGCCCAGAGCTTGAAAATCCACTAATGTATTATTGTAAGTACTGTTGTGTTGTAAGTACAGTACTATTACAGTGCAAGTGCTGTTGGTGTATATTGTTACGTTGTGAGTGCTATTGGTGTACACTGTTAAATTGTGAGTCCTGTTGGTGTGCACTGTTGCATTGTGAATACTGTTACATTGTGTTATTAGTGTGTACTGGGGGATTTCAACTTGAGACACCTAAAATGGAGTATAGCAAACAATGTTTTAGCAGAGATCACCCCAGGAGGCAGCTCAGATGAAAATTCACACACATGAGCTATTAACCCTTTGACTGTTGCAACATCAAATCCTGAAATGTTTCCTGGTGTTGAAAAATTTTTTGAAAAAAAAAAAAAAAAATTTCCTCATGAAATGATAGAATCTTTTCCCGATGGTAATGACACCAAAAGTACGAAAATTGATCGAAAACTTATGGAATTATGCTCCCACGCGAAGTTAGAGATCTCGGCAATATATACACATCGGCGATTTCGCCGACTTTGAGCCCAATTTTCAGCCAATTCCATTGTTCCAGTCGACCAAACTCATAGGTATTACTTTAGATCTATATTTTTTCTATCAACAGAGTACAAGAAACTGCCCATTTACCGATTTCAACTACCCAATAAAGTGGTCAGAAATTGGCAATTTGGCCATTTTCATGCAAATTAAAAAAGATGCCAATTTCAAAATAGGGTCCAGAATAAACAATACAGACATTCTTGGCACTAAAATAACATATCCTCTGTTCATTAGTTATGTCTCCAGGCCCCTCTTATATTACTCTTGCTTTCTATTTTGATTTTTTATTCACACAAAAAATAGAAAATTTACTGTTATGCAGACTACTGCATTTTTGTAAAAATGGTATAAATAATATCAGTGCACTAGTTAAAGAATATTAGACTCCCCAGTTGACATGTATTGGATGTGTGGTGTGATTTGCTTACTCTTGAACATTGGTAAAAATCGAACATTTCTGCTACTTTGAGCTCAATTTCAAGGTCGTTTTCATCGTGAAACTAATCAAAATCATCTCTATTTCTGTAATATGTTTTCCATTCTATCAAATGAGACCAAGAAAACGAGAATACAACCATAAATACTATAGGAAAATGCACCTTAAAGTTGGCATTTTAATCCAAAAACACGGTCTGAGTTTTTCTTCTCTCATTATGCACTGCATGCTGCAGGATTTTTTTTTATACAGTGCACACTGACCACACAGACCCATTCTCTCACACGTGGGCCTACCAGCTTTCTCCTGCTTTATTTGAAGCCGCTAGAATTCTTGAGTATATATATGTTCGAAACACTGGCTCGTAAGACGTATATATACAGCTGAAACAGTCAAAGGGTTAAATCTCTGCACCAAATTCACCTTAAACTAGCAAATAATAGAGCCTACAAGACTAGAAAATACACTGGACCTCATCTTCACTAACAACAATGATCTGATATGTAATATAACCGTATCAAAGACAATACACTCAGATCAGAGCATAAATAGAGGTACAGACATGTATGAGCAGGGCTCCTGACCAGCAAAATGTGATCAGTTATGAGGGTGCCTTACATACACTGGAACAAATCAACCATGTCCTAAATGAAACGAGCCGGGAAGATATCCTAATCAACATGGATCTGGACCTTTGCCATGAAAAAATTAACTCTGTGGCACTTGAGGTCTGCTCAAGGCAAATTCCACTAAGAAAAATATAGAAGATGTAAACTAGAAAGAGAGAGATGCTCCCTATACAGGCGAAGGTGAACAATCACAGAGCTGCTGAGAGGGGCCAGTACGTATATCTGAAATACGAAGGGATGCACTTGTCAGAAATAACAATTATTGAACTTAAGCATAAGGGATCTTACAGGAGACAAGAATCTCAGGAAGAACTTAAAGCCATAAATGAAACTGAAAGAAACCCAAAATACAGCCTCTTCTCACTGAATGATGGAGTTCCGTTCCTAAGACCATGTTGGTAAACGAATTTGTTGCTAAGCAAGGAGCATACTATACTGGTAGTGGGTTTGTCAACCATCTTTGATATTGTTTTAATGCCACCTTTGCACCACTTATAACATTTTCAGTATATTTTAAATATTTATACAGTAAAGTACTATACAATGGACCCCTGCAAATTCGCGGTTCTGAATTTGCAGCTTCAGTAATTCGTGGATTTTTTCTTAGAACTTAACTAATAATTGTTCACAGAAATCCCCGCAAATTCGTGGAATTATTTTTTAGCTTTTTTGTGGCAATATATAATTTTTTGTTTTAACGCTAAATAGAAGAGAGAAGTGTAGAGGAGAGAGAGAGATTTTGGGAAATGTTGAGTGAATGCGTGGGGAGTTTTGAATCAAGTGTGAGAGTAATGGTGGTTGGGGATTTCAATGCTAAAGTGGGTAAAAATGTTATGGAGGGAGTAGTAGGTAAATTTGGGGAGCCAGGGGTAAATGTAAATGGGGAGCCTTTAATTGAGCTATGTGTAGAAAGAAATTTGGTAATAAGTAATACATATTTTATGAAAAAGAGGATAAATAAATATACAAGGTATGATGTAGCACGTAATGAAAGTAGTTTATTAGATTATGTATTGGTGGATAAAAGGTTGATGGGTAGGCTCCAGGATGTACATGTTTATAGAGGGGCAACTGATATATCGGATCATTATTTAGTTGTAGCTACAGTTAGAGTAAGAGGTAGATGGGAAAAGAGGAAGGTGGCAACAACAAGTAAGAGGGAGGTGAAAGTGTATAAACTAAGGGAGGAGGAAGTTCGGGTGAGATATAAGCGACTATTGGCAGAAAGGTGGGATAGTGCAAAGATGAGTAATGGGGGGTTGAAGAGGGTTGGAATAGTTTTAAAAATGCAGTATTAGAATGTGGGGCAGAAGTTTGTGGTTATAGGAGGGTGGGTGCAGGAGGAAAGAGGAGTGATTGGGTGGAATGATGAAGTAAAGGGTGTGATAAAAGAGAAAAAGGTAGCTTATGAGAGTTTTTACAAAGCAGAAGTGTTTAAAAGAAGAGCAGAATATATGGAGAGAAAAAGAAAGGTAAAGAGAGGGTGAGAGAGTGCAAAAGGAGAGCAGATGATAGAGGGGGAGAGGAAACTGTCAAGAAAATTTTAATGAAAATAAGAAAAAATTTTGGAGTGAGTTAAACAAGTTAAGAAAGCCAAGGGAAAATATGGATTTGTCAGTTAAAAACAGAGTAGGGATTTTAGTAGATGGGGAGAGGAGGTATTAGGTAGAGGGCGAGAATATTTTGAGGAATTTTTAAAAATGTTAAGGAAGAAACAGGGGCAGTAATTTCATGCACTGGTCAGGGAGGTATACCATTTTTTAGGAGTGAAGAAGAGCAGAATGTAAGTGTGGGGGGGGTACGTGAGGCATTACGTAAAATGAAAGGGGTAAAGCAGCTGGTACTGATGGGATCATGACAGAAATGTTAAAAGCAGGGGGGGATATATGTTGGAGTGGTTGGTACTTTTGTTCAATAAATGTATGAAAGAGGGAAGGTACCTAGGGATTGGCGGAAGCATGTATAGTCCCTTTATATAAAGGGAAAGGGGACAAAAGAGACTGTACAAATTTTAGAGGAATAAGCTTAAATGAGTATACCAGGGAAAAATGTACGGTTTGGTTTTTAATTGAAAGAATTAGAGTAAGACAGAATGTAGGGTTTTCGGATGACAAGGAGGTTTTTAGAGTGGTAGGGGGTGTGTAATCAAGTGGTTTTTTTCATTTAAGCATATATGTGAACAGTATTAGATAAAGGAGGGAAGTTTTTTGCATTTTTTGGGTTTAGAAAAGGCATATGATAGAGTGGATAGAGGAGCAATGTGGCAGATGTTGCAAGTATATGGAATAGGTGGTAAGTTTTAAATGCTGTAAAGAGTTTTTATGAAGATATTTAGGCTCAGGTTAGGGTGTGTAGAAGAGAGGGAGACATTTTCCCGTAAAAGTATCTTAGACAGGGATGTGTAATGTCACCATGGTTTTTTAATATATTTATAGATGGGGTTTTTAAGGAGGGAAAATGCTAGGGTTTTTGGGAGAGGGGTGGGATTAAATTAAAGGGAATCAAATTCAAAATGGGAATTGACACAGTTACTTTTTGCTGATGATAGTGCTTATGGGAGATTCTAAAGAAAAATTGCAAAGGGTTTGTGGATGAGTTTTTTGGGAAAGTGTGAAAGGTAGAAAGTTGAAAGTGAACAAAGAAAAGAGTAAGTGATGAGGGTGTCAAATGATTTGATAAAGAAAAATTGGATATCAAATTGGGGAGGGAGTATGGAAGAAGTGAATGTTTCAGATACTTGGAGTTGACGTGTCGGCGGATGGATTTATGAAGGATGAGGTTAATCATAGAATTGATGAGGGAAAAAAGGTGAGTGGTGCGTTGAGGTAATGTGGAGTCAAAAAACGTTATCTATGGAGGCAAAGAAGGAATGTAGAAAGTATATGAGTACCAACACTCTTATATGGGTGTGAAGCTTGGGTGGTAAATGCAGCAGCGAGGAGACGGTTGGAGGCAGTGGAGATGTCCTGTTTAAGGGCAATGTGTGGTGTAAATATTATGCAGAAAATTCGGAGTGTGGAAATTAGGAGAAGGTGTGGAGTTTAATAAAAGTATTAGTCAGAGGGGAGAAGAGGGTTGTTGAGGTGGTTGGGCATTAGAGAGAATGGATCAAAGTAGAATGACATGGAAAGCATATAAATCTATAGGGGAAGGAAGGCGGGGTAGGGGTCATCCTCGAAAGGGTTGGAGAGAGGGGTAAAGGAGGTTTTTGGGTAAGGGGCTTGGACTTCCAGCAAGCGTGCGTGAGCGGTTAGATAGGAGTGAATGGAGACGAATGGTACTTGGACCTGACGATCTGTTGGAGTGTGAGCAGGGTAATATTTAGTGAAGGATTCAGGGGAAAACCGGTTATTTTTATATAGTCGGACTTGAGTCCCCGGAAATGGGGAAGTAAAAATGCCTGCACTTTAAAGGAGGGGTTTGGGATATTGGGAGTTTGGAGGGATATGTTGTGTATCTTTATATGTGTATGCTTCTAGACTGTTGTATTCTGAGCACCTCTGCAAAAACAGTGATAATGTGCGAGTGTGGTGAAAGTGTTGAATGATGATGAAAGTATTTTCTTTTTGGGGATTTTCTTTCTTTTTTTGGGTCACCCTGCCTCGGTGGGAGACGGCCGACTTTTTTGAAAAAAAAAAAAAAAAAAAAAAAAAAAAAAAAAAAAAAAAATTAATAATTTTGTAACATAAATTCAGCAAAATTTCAATATAAAATATAATACAGCCTCTCCTCACTTAACGACGGAGTTACATTCTTAAGACCGCATTGTTAAACGAATTCGCCGCTAAGTGAGGAGCATATAATGGTAGTGTGCCAACCATCATTGATATTGTTTTAATGTCACCTTTGCACCATTTATAACATTTTTATTATATTTTTAAATGTTTATACAGTGTACTCTGTATTGTAATAAACAGAATAGAGAAAATCAGCTCTAATATACATTTAGGTATGCATACTGGTCAAAGAGTCTGTCATAAGTCCAAGTCATCAGTGAGGGGAGGTTGTATTGTATACAGGTTTCTCTTTTTTTTTTTTTTTTTTTTTTTTTTTTTTTTTTTTTTTTTTTTTAATGGTGATGTATGAAATTGAGTTTGAAATTAGTGTTTTGGGGGTATATTTAGGGTTTAAACTATAAAAATACACATTTACAGGCATTTTTTAACTGTCCATAATCTGCCGTTTTTTCCAAATTCGCGAGTGGTCTTGGAATGTAACCCTGCGAATTTGGGGAGACTACTGTATATTGCAATAAACATAATAAAGGAAATCAGCTCTAATATACATTATTTAGGCATGCATACTGATCAGAGGCCCCCATTGTAAGTCAGTCATTGGTAAATGAGTATGCCACTAAATGAGGAGAGGCTCTACTACTTCTCTTATGCAAAATCTAAGGTGAAAACAACATCCGGTATTGGGCCCCTGCTTAGATGAGATGGGACCTACACAGATGACAGCAAAGAAATGAGTGAGATACTAAAGTCCCATTATTACTATGTTCATTGAGCCATTAACCAGACTTGGGGTCGACAGTGTAAATGAATTTTTTATGACCGAGACTCAAAATTTGGTCATTTAAAAAATCTCTGATATTATCACACCACCACAAGACTTTCGAAAAGGCAATTAATGACATGCCCATGCACTCTTCCCAGACTTGTGGAACTCGTGTTCATCGAGAACTACAAGAAACCCATCACGTGCCTTTAGCATTCTATGGAGAGTAAGCATAGACATGGGAGTCATCCCACAGTCATTAAAAACAACAGACATAAACCCACTCCACAAAGGTGGCAGTAAGACCAATATCATAAAACTCTTTGAAAGGGTTCTAAGAAGTATGATTGCCAACCACCTAGATACCCATCAATTACACAACCCAGGGCAACACAGGTTTAGAGCAGGTTGCTCCTGCCTGTCCTAGCTACTGGATCACTCTGACAAGGTCCTGGATGCTTTAGAGGATAAACAAAATGTAGATGTAGTATACAAAGACTTTACAAAAGTCTCTGACAAGTGCAACCATGGTGTAATAGCACACAAAATGTGAGAGAAAGGAATAACAGGAAAAATTGGTGGAAGGATCTAAAACTTAGTAACAAATAGAAAAGCTACAGTGAAAAGCTGTCCCCCACAAGGCACAGTACTCACTTCCATCCTGTTCCTCATCCTATCTGACATAGACAAGAGATGTAAGCCATAGCTCTGTGTCTTCCTTTGCGGATGACACCCAAATTGCCATGACAGTGTCCTCCATCGAAGACACTACAAAACTCCAAGTGGACATCAACCAAATATTTAAATGGGCTGCAGAAAACAATATGAAGTTCAATGAAGAGAAATTTCAACTACTCACATATGGAAAGCTTGAGGAAATTAAAACTTTATCAGGGCATAAAATAAATTGTAACCACACCGTAGAGTGAAAATCTAATGTGAAGGACCTGGGAGTGATAATGTCAGAGGAACTCGCCTTCAAAGACCACAACAATGTATCAACCTCATCTGCTAGAAAAATGATAGGATGGATAATGAGAACCTTCAAAACTAAGGATACCAAGCCCATGATGATTCTCTTCAAATCACTTGTTCTTTCTAGGCTGAAATACTGCTGTGCACTAACTGTTCCCTTCACACACAAGTACAATAAATCACTTAAATTACTGGGAACAGCTGAAGTCCCTTGATCTCCATTCTTTGGAATGCAGGTGAAGTACATGATAATATACACTTGGAAAATCACTCCCTATGAAAGCAAAAGACTTGGCAGGAGATGCAACATTTCCCCAATGAAAAGCAGGGGTGCCACGAGTACACTGAGACAACACCATAAGTGTCAGGTGCCCAAGGCTGTTCAACTGTCTCCCACCATACATAAGGGATATTACCAATAGACCCCTGTCTGTCTTCAAGAAGGCACTGGACAGGCACCCAAGTCAGTACCTGATCAGCAGAGCTGTGGTTTGTATGTCAGTTTACATGCGGCCAGCAGTAACAGCCTGGTCTCAGACCAGGCCGTGGGGGCGTTGATCCCCCCGAAACCCTCTCCAGGTAAACTCAAGGAGGGTGAAACCCACAGGGGTCATGGTGTCTTGGGAATGGAATTGAAGGCAGTCAAATTTGATTCAAAGAAAGGTAGGATCCTCCAATGCCTTGGACTAAGTGCCCTTCACTACCATAATGGTACCTTATTTGAGGAGTCTTATTGCAAAAAGATATTGATGTGTAGTGTAGTAATGAGAACATATTTTGAGTACTGTTGGTATGTATTGAAGTAATGGGAGTACTGGTGTATTAATATTGGTGATATTCACAGCTGTTTTGAGAATACTTATTGTGGTGTTATGTATTATCAGGTAGTGTAGTAGTTCCATGAAGTGCTGTCCAATGAAAAAATAAAGTATTTTAAAACTTGATTAACTGTTTGTTTTTCCTCAGTATGTTTGTCAACGGTGGACCGGCGTTCCAGGGAGCGGTTCATAGATTCCAACAACCAGATTGCTGCTCTAGTGGAGAAGTTCAAGGTAGAGGGTGGGCCTTACCGTAAATACTCGGGGCCACCTCCAGATGTTGACCTTTCAGAACACAAGGTGCCTCTCTCTGCATATGGCAGACCAGGAATCCTCTCCACCATGCTGGCTCTCTTGGGGTGTGTAACCTAAGACCTTGTTAGTGTACTTCAGTCTGGAAATGTCAGTATAATCATGGTCTTGCTGGACAATTTAGCCTTGCAAAATGGTTGTCAATATCCTGTTGGACAATATGACCTGAGGGACCTACTAGAATGTAGTCTCTAACTTTGTAAAATTACTGCATGATCATGCTGGACCAAGGGGGCAGGGTCAGAGGTCAAGGTCTTGTTGATTCTTGTATATAGGTCAAAATTTTCTAAACAGTGTATGCAGATTAGTCTTGTAGTACAGTATAGTGTGTCTTGTATAGTTTAAGATGAAAATTTTCCTGAGCATTATAAGTTCACTTCTCATATCTAAAATACAGTACTGTTCAAGTCGCAGGTTTTCTTTTCCTACAGGACGATAATAGAAATTAAGGTAAATTCATTTCTTATTTCTACTTTTCTACCATTATAACACAGCTCCTTTATACTGCATCAGTATTCTGTTTCTCTCCTGAGCAGTTTTTTGTAAGATTTAATGAAAGTTCTCCAGGTGCTCTGATGCCTATAGGTTTAGCATTTCCCAAGAAAGTAATATGAAATACAATAAAAATTTTATTTCGTTGTGCTACAAATGTTGTCTGTGTATAAATCACAGGTAGGCACAAAAGAAAGCCACTAATTATGCAATTAATTGCAGGCAGACTAATCCTAATGCTTAAAATTGCTTAAGATTTAGACATGGATTATTAAGAAAGATTTCTCATGTAGTTAACTACAATCATAAATACAATAAGAAAGGCAGCTAATAAACAGTTGGTCAATTACAAAAGTATTACATACAGTAGGGCCCCGCTTTACAGCGTTTTGCTTTACGGCGTTCCGTTAATACGGTCATTTCAAATTATGACCAAAACTCGCTATACGGCTCCCCCCACCTGACTTTCTAATACGGTCACTGCACCCCACCCGGTTTGTTTACATTCTCTGTGAGATCCAAGCACTAAGTCTCTCCATTTTGTCTGGAAACTCCAAAATTTCAAGTGTTTTTAAAAGTTATTTAAAATTTTATATATACTCTGATAATTATACTTATGTATACCTGTACCTAAATAAACTTACACACTGTGCTGGCATGCAGCTACACATTAAAATCAGTAAGACTGTCTTATGTCTCCAGACATCATATTAGTAATGATAATAATCATCGAGTCTCATTAAATGTCGTATATTACTTTAATATACACATTTTCATTAATCCATCTATGATATTTTTTTCAAAATTATATAATAAACACGATGCATAACATATAAATATGATAAATACACCCCACAGTAGAATAAATAAACATAAATATGAGATGTGGTTGCAGACGACTTGCACAAATGACGCCATACTAGAAATGATTCAAAGTTTATTCTCTATAAAGATTACAATGTTGAATTTACAGAATTTGGTTGTTGTGTGGTTTACATGTAGTTAAATAATGATTACAGAGTGTACCACTAGAACGCCTAGCATGGCTAGGCATTTCGGGCAGACTTAATTTAATTCTTTATTTTAAAATATTACAAATTATGAGGTAAGTTGGTATTATGGCTAAGTGACTAAATACTAGTTTGTGAGTTTAGCAATGTGAATGCTTTTGTTTTGGCACAGTACATAGTTTCAGTATTGGATGATAATAATAATAATAATACTCACCGAGTCTCAATAAATGTCGTATACAGTGGACCCCCGGTATTCGATATTAATCCATTCCTGAGAGCTCATCGAATACCGATAATATCGAAAACCGAATCAATTTTCCTCATAAGAAATAATGGAAATCAAATTAATCTGTGCAAGACACTCAAAAGTATGAAAAAAAAAAAATTTTACTACATGAAATATTAAGTTTAATGTAATAGAATAATTACAATAACAATAAAATAATTGACACTTACCTTTAATGAAAATCTGCTGATGATTGATGGGATGGGAGGAGGGGAGAGGTTTAGTGTTTAGAAGGGGAATCCCTTCCATTAGGACTTGAGGTAGCAAGTCCTTTTCTGGGGGTTTCTTTCCCCTTCTCTTTTAATGCCACTAGGACCAGCTTGAGAGTCACTGGACCTCTGTCGCACAACAAATCTGTCCATAGAGCTCTGTACCTCCCGTTCCTTTACAATTTGTCTAAAATGGGCCACAACATTGTCATTGTAATAGTCACCACACGGCTTGCAATAGCTGTGTTAGGGTGATTTTCATCCATAAAAGGGTTTTCACTTCAACCCACTGTGCACACTTTCCTTAATTTTTGAAGTAAAGGGACAATGGATTCCACAACTGGCATAGGCTTCTTAGGGTTAGCCCCAAACCCTTCAAAATCTTTTCTTAATTTCCATACTAATTCTCGCCCTTTTTACCACAGGGTTGGCACTAGAAGCTTTCTTGGGGCCCATGGTGACTTATTTTGCAGAAACAAGCACCAAACACAGTGATAATATGGATAATATGGAATGTACTGAATGTATCCTTAGATGCGCGCACACTGGCTGGCTTGTAAACACTGGCACACATGGGGCAGTTCAGGCCACACGTGGACAGGTCTCGTACGAATTGTATCGAATACCGAGGAAAATTTTTTGCGATATAATGCATCGAATACCGGATTTATCGAATACCGATGCCATCGAATACCGGGGGTCCACTGTAAATATTTTAAGGTAAGTAATGAGCGCACTATGTGTGTATTGTAATTTTTTATTGTTTTTTGATGCCTGGTTCTATTGCTAACTTAATATATGTTAGTGTAAACTTGTTATCTAGTGTATGTATGCATTTATAAGTGGAAAAAAAAAGGGTGTTCCACTTTACGGCGATTTCCGCTTTACAGTGGTAGCCTGGAACCTAACCTGCCGTGTAAGTGGGGCCCTACTGTATTGTTTTCAACAGATTCATTAATCTTAGGCTTTGTGGAGTGATTGAATAGAGATAGATACAGCAAGTTACTTAGTTACAATAAAAATACAATTTTAATATCCTATAACCATCTTGTGGGTAGTTAACAGATTAGATGTACATTATTAATCAGGGAACTGAGCCCAATATTTTTAACAGTTAAAATAGTTTTAAGAGCAATGAATTGTCTAGGTAGTAGGTTGGTCGATAGCAACCACCCAGGGAGGAACTACCATCCTGCCTAGCGAGTGTAACACAAAAGCTGTAATTGTTTTACATGATGGTAGGATTGCTGGTGTCTTTTTTCTGTCTCATAAACATTCAAGATTTCAGGTACATCTTGCTAATTCTGCTTATATTTAGGTCACACTACATATGCATATACAAGCATATATATATATTATATATATATAATATATATATATATATATATATTATATATATATATATATATATAAAAATATATATATATATATATTAAAATATATATATATTTTTTTTTTTTCAACAAGTCGGCCGTCTCCCACCGAGGCAGGTGACCCAAAAAAAAGAAAGAAAATCCCCAAAAAGAAAATACTTTTATCATCATTCAACCTTTTAAACCCCACTCCACATTTCACGTTTTTGCAGAGGGGCTCAAATACAAAATCTAGAAACATACACATATAAAGATACACAACATACCCCCAAACTGCCAATACCCCAAAACCCCTCCTTTAAAGTGCAGGCATTGTACTTTCCCCTTTCCAGGGCTCAAGTCCGACTATTAAAATAACCGGGTTTTCCCTGAAACCCTTTCACTAAAATATTACCCTGCCCCCCACTCCACAGATCGTCGGTCCCAAGTACCATTCGTCCCCCATTCCTCCCATCTAAAAACGCTCAGCACGCTTGCTGGGAAATCCCAAACCCCTTCCCACAAAACCTCCTTTACCCCCTCTCTCCAAACCCTTTTTGAGACGACCCCTACCCCGCCTTCCTTCCCCTATAGATTTTATATGCTTTCCATTCATTCATTTTGACCATTCTCTCAAATGACCAAACCACCTCAACAACCCCTCTTTGCCTCTGACTAAATTTTTATTAACTCCACACTTCCCAAATTTTCCCACACTCCGAATTTTCTGCATAAATATTTACACCACACATTGCCCTCAAACAGGACATCTCCACTGCCTCCAACCGTCTCCTCGCTGCTGCTTTTTACCACCCAAGCTTCACACCCATATAAGAGTGTTGGTACTACTAAAACTTTCATACATTCCCTTCTTTGCCTCCATAGATAACGTTTTTTGACTCCACATATACCTCAATGCACCACTCACCTTTTTTCCCTCATCAATTCTATGATTAACGTCATCCTTCATAAATCCATCCGCCGGGACACGTCAACCTCCAAAGTACCCTGAAAACTTTCACTTCTTCCAAAACTCCTCCTCCCCAATTTTTGATATCCAATTTTTCTTTTTCTAAATCATTTGATACCCTCATCCCCTTTACTTTTTTCTATGTTCACTTTCAACTTTTTTACCTTTACACACATTCTCAAACTCATCCACTAACCTTTTGCAATTTTATTTAGAATTTTCCATAAGCACAGTATCATCAGCAAAAAGTAACTGGGGTCAATTCCCATTTTGAATTTGATTCCCCATAATTAATCCCACCCCTCTCCCGAACACCCTAGCATTTACTTCTTTTACAACCCCATCTATAAATAATATTAAACAACCCATGGTGACATTACACATCCCGTCAAAGGGACCTATTTTTTAAAACCGGGAAGTATTCTCCCTCTCTTCTACACACCCTAACCTGAGCCTCACAATCCTCATAAAAGCTCTTTACAGCATTTAGTAACTTCCCCACCTATTCCATAAACTTGCAACATCTGCCACATTGCTCCTCTATCCACTCTATCATATGCCTTTTCCCTAAATCCATAAATGCAATAAAAACTTCCCTACCTTTATCTAAATACTGTTCACATATATGCTTCAATGTAAACACTTGTCTACACATCCCCACCCACTCTGAAGCCCTCCCCTTTCCACCGCAATTTTTACATTCTGTCTTAAAACCTCTAATTTTT